CCCTGACCTTAACCCCCTGGACTATTTTTTGTGGGGTCAACTTAAGGCAAAGGTTTATAAAATTCCAATTGAGACCATTCAGCAACTACGGGAGGAAGTTGAAACCGCGTGTATGGAAATAAGACAAACACCTAGAATTTTCCAAAGAGTTCGCAAATCATTGAAGCGTCGAGCTAGATTATGCATCGAAATGCAACTTCGAGCAGTTCTTGTAATTTAACTTATTATTACTAATTTTAATCCCATTATTTTCTATTTCACATTTAGCTATTGTCTGCAGTAGTAGTAATTAGTTCTTTAATTAGTAAGTGTAACTTTAAATTTAAATAGTCTTAGTTTATGTCCTAAATTATTTATTAAATAATCGGATCCTTCATAACTGCAATTTATTTAAATAATTTTACTGAATTTTCAAACTCAATTTACTCGAAAACCATTGGAAATATCGATTTGGACAAAGATAATATTTTTTACGTAAAATTGTTAAGATTTTATAAATCTGTAGAGAAAATTGTAAAAAGAATTGAAATAAAAAAAATTACGGGCCGAAAACCCCCTTCATCAACCTAAATGGCACGCATATGATTTGCATAATGAAAAATGGAGTAGCCCATATTATTTAACGTAAAAAGTTATGTAAGACCCATCAATTTTTTTCTATTTATTTTCAACCGTTTTATCAATAACAGAAAGAAAAAACAGTTTTGTTTGAGCCCTTTTAAGGGCATATAACTTCCTAAGGGTGCCTTTTAGGGCACATGTTAATAGGAACTTTTTGGCTTATTTCAATGAGTTATAAACGCAGCAGAAGTTTGGAACCCTATTTTAGAAACACCCTGTATATCTATGCTGCTTTGGTAATTAATATGTTACTTACATTTCCTCATAGATCCTTGAACGGCAATGTTTTTGTAAAAAAATAAGTTATAATTTTACTTATTATCCATACTTACATCTTTATTTTTATTTGTTGAATTAGTTGGACATTAATTAGCAGTCGAAAACTGGCTAATAAATATACAAACTAAAGTAATCATTTCTAACATTTTTTGCAAGCCTACATGATCCCCAATACTGCACTGCCTCAGCCATAACCAGATTCAGACGTTTTGTCTCGAAAAATTCATCTTCAGTGTATTCATTCCAAATATATCTAAATTTTTTATTTAGTGTCCACGAACGCGGTGGTTTCCGGACCCGTTTGGCGATGGTGACGTGGTTGGGGGTATCCCTAAGAATCCTCAGGACACGCTGGATGCGTGCAGGAAGGGTTTCTGCACGGCCGCGGCTGCTTCTGCGGATGTCGGGTTCGGCTCGCGTTGTGGAACGATAGGTGTAGGGTTCCCCTTAATTAATAAGTAAAGGGGAACTTGTTAATGAATTCTTTTTTCCCTATTTTGTGGAATGGCAGACCAAGCCGTGCCACAAGCTGAGGGGAACAGCTTTAATATACCCCGAAGGGTCGCTGATACTCAGTACTACTACTATTTAAAAATTGGTAGCGATTACTCGTCACTAAAGGAGCGGACAATGAGAGGCTATTCGATTCAAACACTATAATACAAGTGTGAAGACCAACTCAGAGATGCTTCTCGTGTCAAGTCTCGACTGAGAATGAGCTATCGAGGCAAAACTCGGCTGTCGTATTCCACCCTTCGAGCGAGCTTCAGGATTTCAGAACACCCCGTATATTCATAGAAGTCATAATCTTGTACCTACGGATATGCCGGAGACCGCAACATTCATATTCACCTACCTTTCCAATTCAAACCAAAAACCCGCCACGGTTGTGAAATCAATCGCCGTCGGCCGGGCAGAATGAAAAAGCCTCTATAGGAGTCTTCAGACATCGATCCTCACGGCGATAGCGCTCCCAGAGCGTTAAAGACCAATTTCACCGACCTTTCCAGTGTCACCCGCATCGCGACCGATCTCGCCTGGGTCTGCCATCCCGGCGCGCAGTGACCACTGCCGCTGCTCTCGCAACCTGCAGTCGAACCCCGGGACGCTTCACGATGACATTTGGAAATGGCCATTAGAAATTT